ATCTCCCAATATTAACCATGCTATTACAGAATCTGTTCACTTGTTTTTGTATGTAAAATATTTTTGAACGATTACATCCATCTAATGATTGTTTGTATGTGTGATATGCCAGTAGAGGTATATGTGTACAAGCATGTGCATACACATAAAAAAAATTATGTTTGTTTGGCTAGGTACCAGTATATGAATAGGTTGTTTAATGCGACTTGTATATTAGCATCATCATAGTTTCAACAGACAGTTTATGTATATCAAATGTTAAATGTCTTTGTAGGGAGAATTGCATATCAAAACTGTCATTATTTTATTACTTATGAGTAGAACTTTTTAAGTATCTGGCATGATACATTTCCTTGGTCCACAGACACATGTTACCGAGAGAGAATTAGGAGATTTTACGACCGCTTCAGCCGTCGGCTATTTCGCAGTCGGGGCCAGGCGGGTTTAATGTAAACAATCAATAATGGGAAATAAAGGTATAATCGGCTGGCCCAAAAAACTGTAATTAAAAGGAGAAAAGCGAGAAAAAGAAAGCTGTAAAGTTGGTGAGAGAGATAAGACAGTTTAGTGGGGGGATATGCAGCTGTAGGAAACCTATATTACTTGGGAAACTAATGGGAGAGACAGATACTGGAAGAATCAGTTAGGCTGATATACTAGTGTAGTGGTATCACTATTTAACAATAAGTTGTAAAAATGTAGGGGGGGAAGTAACCTAATCTATCAGTAAAAAAGAAATAAAAAGGGACTCTTGGTTATTTACGTTGTGGGGGGGGGGGGGGGGGGGGGGGTCAGGCTTGTGTGGGGGGGTGCGTGTCTGGAGCGAGTTGGCTGGGCTTGGGTAGATGGCTGGTTAAATGAACATGGTATTGTGTGTCTGGTTATGAAGGAAGTTGCCGTGAGCGTGTATGGAGCTAGCTGACTGGGCTTGGGTATATGGCTGGTTAAGTGAACATATAAATGAGTGGCTGGTTATGGGAGAATTTGTCGCGCGGACGTCGGAGAAGACAATCCGTGCTGAGAATTTGGATCCCGATCCTAAATTGTAGAAATGGTGATTTGGTGATAGCTGTTATTTACTAAGATTTGTTTGGGATAATTCTAAAGTCTGTGGATTAAGTTTGTTGATTTGAGAAATTTGGCTATATGGGTGAATTTAGTTGGGTTTTCAGTCGGGTTTATTAAAAGAAGAATGTTGTTTCTATAGTGGGGGGGGAGAGAGTTATATAGATGTTTTTGTTGGGTTTTGTAGTGTTTGCAATGGTTAAAAATGTGATCTAGGTTTTCTGGTATATTACAGTGGATACAGTTTGGGTGGGGATGTCTGTTTTGTTTGTGTAGAGTTTCATTTATGTTGATTTGGCCGCTGAATATTCTATTAATGATTTTTTCCGTGATAATTGACTTTGTAAAGTTTCGACATTTAGTAACTGGTTTAATGAAAAGTGATTTGGTCCAGTTGGACTTTGAATTTTGAATATTACTTTGGAAATTTTGACTATTTATGTTTTTTCTGATTAATGATTTGACTTCGGCCTTACTTGTATTGAAGTTAATGGAGGGTGATGGGTGTGTGGTTGCTAATTTTGCTGCTGTATCTGCTAAGTGATTTCCTTGTATTCCTATGTGTGCAGGTGCCCAAAGTAATGTGATTGTTTTGTTTGTTGCTGTGATATTGTTATGAATGAGTATTATGTTGTTAATAATATCTTGGCGTGTTTTAGATGTTTTGTTGTGTATTTGGGATAGGGAGCCTAATGAGTCTGAAATAATTAAGAAATTTGTGTCCTTGGATTGTTTAATGTAATGGTAGGCACATTGGATGGCGAGAAGTTCTGCTGTAATAGTGTGTGAATAATTAGTATAATGAAAATTTGTAGTAATGGGAGCTGGTTGGGTAACTTGTATTCCTAGTCCTGTAATGTTGTTGTTGTTTTGGGAGGCGTCAGTGTATATATGTGAGTGATTAGGCCAGTTTTGATGTATGTATTGGTTTGTTATTTGTAGTTTGTCTTGTTTTGTAAGGTCGGTTTGTGAAATAAAGAGTTTATGTAGTGAACAGTCAGTGCTTGGTGCCGGTATGTCATTTATATAGGTATGGATGGGGGGAGAGTGTTTGATATGTTCAAGATTGTGGGTTTTAATAAGTTTGTATAGGTGGGTGATGTAGGGGGCTAGGTTGTTGTTGTTTTTAAACTTTTTGAGTGTTGCAGGTCTAAGATGTTTGTATTTGTCTGTAATTTGTTTGAATATAGGGTTGTGTTGGGCCCCAGCCCAGTAATTTAGTGTAGTTTGGTCACGTCTAAGCTTAATCGATATGTTACCTGATATTAATAATAGTGATATGAGAGAGGCACCGGTTCTGGTCCCCAGGGCTGTTTTTAGGGCCTTATATTGTATGGAATTTAGTTTTTGGTTAAGTTTATCAGTGATTGAGTGGAGAACCGGGGCGGCGTAGTCAATTTTGGGTAGAATGAGTGATTTATATATGTTTAAAAGGGTTTGTTTGTCAGCTCCCCAATCGGAGCCGCTGATGGCTCTCATTAAGTTGAGATCTTTTTGACATGATGCGACCAAGTTATGAATATGGGGTGCCCATGTTAGTTGTTGGTCAAATGTTACTCCTAGGAATTTTGCTTCATTTTTGAATAGGATGGGTTCATTATTAAGTGTTAGTTTAGGTGTGTATTTTTGCATATGTTTATTTTTGAATAATAGTCCGATGGTTTTTTGTGTATTAATTTTGAAACCCCACTGGGAAGCCCAGTTTTGGATATGATTTAAAATAGGTTGAATCCTTTTTTGGATTTGATTTATTGATGTAGACGACGTCCAGAAAGATATATCATCAGCGAATTTAGCAGTTGTGGTGTTAATTAGGTTTAGGGGGAATATGTCGTCTATCATAAGATTAAACAGGGTTGGTGAGATAATGCTTCCCTGTGGGGTGCCATTTTCTAAAGGATGAAGATCTGAGAGGGAATTGTTTGTTTTGATTATAATATTTCTGTCAGTTAGAAAAGAGTGAATGAAATTTAGGATTCTACCATCTATGTCTTTTTCTCTAAGTTTTTGAATCAGGCCATTATGCCAAACCATGTCGAAAGCTTTACTAAAATCTATGAAGATGGCCAGAGTGTATTGTTTCTGGGCGAGTGCAGTTTTAACGTCGTGTTCCAAATGTAGGATATGGTCAAGTGTTTGTCGATTTGGTCTAAAGCCGCTCTGGTCCTCCTGTAGGAGGTCATGGGAAGAGATTTGGAATTTTAATCTATTATTAATAATGGATTCCATAATTTTGCAAATATGGGACGTGAGAGAGATAGGTCTATAGGAATCCGGATCTTTAAGGGGTTTCCCTGGTTTTAGAACCGGTACTACCTGGGCTGTTTTCCAGGATTTGGGGATGGCGCCAGAAGTCCAAATTTGGTTATAGAGTTGTAGTAAGAGTTTTTGAAATTTAAATGGGAGATGGTTAAGAATGACGTAGCTGATATTGTCCGGGCCTGTGGCTGGGGTAGTGTTTTTACTGTGTATAGCTGTTTGAAGTTCGTGTATGGTTATTATTTTGTTAAGTGCTTTGTGAGTATGGGGGGGGCTAGGTGTGTAGATGGGGTGATTGTGGATTTTGTTTTGCATGCTTGGGGTGTGGTTGGTGGAGCTACTAGTGGCCGAGAAGTGAGCAGCCATGGCATTAGCCTTTTCTTTGTCTGTATTAAGGTTAGGGAAGGTGGGAAATGAGTGAGCTTTTGAATTACCTTTAATAGATTTAAGTTTTTTCCATAGAATTTTGGTATTTTGTTTTCCCATTTTCAAGGTACTTGTAAATTGTTCCCAATGTTTTCTTTTGGCCGCTCTTATTAGTTGTTTAGTGGAGTTTCTAAGTGCTATGGCTAAGGGGATTTTAGTTTTATCCCGCTTAGCCTTGTTCAGGGCTTTTTTCCTTAACTTTCTAGAATTTTGAATGTCGGGGCTCCACCATGGGACGGATATGTGATTGGGGGATAACTTGATAGTGGGGATGCATTGGGTTGCTATTTTGTGTACTGTGTTAGTGAAATTAGTGTTAAATGTGTCATTGTCTTGATTGTGTATATTATGGATATCTGTTTGGTTACACAAGTTGTTGAATTGCGTCCAGTCTGCTTTTTTAAAATTGAAGATGAGTTTCTGGGGGGGGTGATCTGAAGGGGGGTGGGGAGGGGTGGGAGGGGGGATGGTACTGGGGGGGGTTATGGTTGTAGAAATTTTGATGGGGAGGTGGTCGCTACCCCAGGTATCTGGATAAACTTCCCAATTTAATTTAGATTGTAGATGGGGTGTACAGATGGAGAGGTCGATGGCAGTGGGGGATTGGAGGTGGTTAAGTGGAAATCTAGTGGGTTGGTTGTTGTTTAGACATATAAGGTTGTTAGTTTCGATCCAGTTGTTTACAAAGTTTCCATATTTATCAGTAAAGTTTTTTGTGCCCCACAGTGGGTGATGGGCGTTGAAATCACCAAGAAAAAGAGTGTTTTGATCAATAAATTTAGTTAATATGTCCAGGTCCTCAACTGATAGGGGTTTTTTCTTGGAGTGGTAGACATTTATAATAGTTATATTTGTTTTGTTGATAGTGGTTTTTATAGCCAGGCATTCCAAATTTGGGGTAGGGATCTCGATTATATCATAGTTAAGTTCTTGTTTAATAAAGATACCCAGCCCTCCATGAGGGGGGCCTGGGAGATTTAATGGACGTGGTCTGTCCTTCCGAATAAAAACATAGCCTGGTATTTTGAAGGCTTTTTTGGGTGAGATTTTAGTTTCCTGGATTGCAATTATCAAGGGTTTAATTTTTCCAAGGGCAATGAGTGCCTTGAGCTCATGTCCATTGGTGGTGATTCCGTTACTATTCCACTGTAAGAACACCATTATCGGGTTTTAGAATGGGGGGGGGCAGTTGATGTTGAGTGGGATGGTGTTCTGGGGCTAATTTGGAAAATGTATGTAAAGAAATGGGATTATTTAAGCGCTCTGACAGCTGATTGGAAGTTTTGGAAGGATTTTTGGTAAACAGTGGTAAGGAGGGCCAGGGAGTGGAGTTTCTTAAGGTTGGGGTTTTTTAGAAGGATAGCTGCAGACAGGAATTCGATCAGTTTGTTTGTGTTGTGATGAAGTTTTTTGGGTGTGACTGCTGGTATGGGTGTTGTTTTGAGAAGTTGGAGTTTGTGGTTAAGTAGCTGTTTTCTTGTGGTGTTTATTTTGTAGTTGATTTGTCTATTTTTGGTTTGATTGTTTGAGGGGACAGGGATGGCTGACTTTGCTGGGGGTGGGGCTTGGGCTTGGGGGAGGGAGGTTTGGGAAGGGGGGGGGAAAGAGAGTGGAGGGGTGGGATTTGTTAGGAGGGGGGTGGGGGTGGAATGGGTTGGGGTGGGATGGGAGGTGGGTGGGGGATTGAAAGGGATAGGCGTGGGTAGCAGGGCCCTGGGTGGTGGAAGGTACGTGCTTGGCCTAGGGGGGGGGAGGAAGGGGGTGGGGGTGGAGGGGGCCAGTTGGAAGGGGGAGGGTGGTGGAGGGGCCAGCAGGGGGGGGTGGGCCGGGGCGGGGGTAGAGAAGAGTTGTTTACGTTTAGTTTTGGGTTGGGCTGGTGGGGGGGGGGGAGGGGGAGGGGGTTGGGATTGGGATAGGGAACTGTCCATGGAGTCTGATGATGTGTTTAGGTCAAAGTAGTCAGGAATGATGCTGTGGATGATGGCTGCAGGTTTGGGAAGGTGGTCTTTGGTGATGTGTTTGTTTAATTTGAGTATGTGTGTTTGTTTGGTGGGGCAGGTGTTTTGTGTAGCTGTGTGGCCTTCCACCTTGCATTGGATGCAGTAAGGGGCCCATGTGCACTCTGTGGCTTCGTGGCGGTACGAGCCACACTTTTGGCACATGGGTGGCTCACGACAGGTGGATGTGGGGTGGTTAAATGAGTGACATATGTAACATTGTTGTGGATTTTTCCTAACAGGGTGGACTTTGTAAGTGAGTGTGCCAAATATGATATGTGTAGGTAAGTTTGTGGTTTTGAATGTGATGAAGACTGTTTGTGTGGTTGTCCTGCCCGGGACGGGTGTCCGGTTGTTAATATTCTTGAAATTTATAATTTTAGGTTGTGTCTGGATTTTGTTTGCCATGTGGATGTATTCTTGGATGTCTTGTTGTGTATCTCTGTGGTCTATGTGTATAACTCCCTGTATTTCTGT